GGGACAAAGGCTGCTTGGTTTCATAACATCAGGTACTGAGAGGAGCCAAGTGACGGGTGCGGAAGGTGGGCTCGTGGGGCCGGGCTGGGGCGGGGGAAGGGCTGTGTTGTTTTGGGGACAATAAACAATTGTTTAAACACTTTCAGTTCCCCGCAATGAAAAGTTGCAGAGGTAGGCAGTGGTGATACCAGTGAACACTTAAAACTGGCTAAAATGGGAAATTTTATGTCATATGTATTTTACCACAATAAAAAATTTGAAAGAAAAAGTGGTTGAGGAAAATAAGCCTTGTTTGGAAGAATAAATGATTGTGCTCAGTTGTGTCCAACTCTTTATGACCCCATGGACTGCAGCCCACCAGGCTCCTCTGTCCATGGGATTTTCCAGGCAAAAATACTGGAGTGGGCTGCTATTTCCTTCTCCAGGGGATCTTCCTGACCCAGGGATGGAACTTGCGTCTCCTGCGTCTCCTGCATTAGCAGGTGGATTCTTTACCACTGAGCCCCTTGAGAAGCTCGTTTGGAGGGATAGGAGTAACCAATAAATTGTGTGATATCTTCTCCTAAATATATATTCTCCACATAAAAAACTCATATGTGGCTGCTCACACTGATATTAACTTACCATAGCCAAAGTAGAAACAACCCAAATGGCTGTAGACTAGTAAATGAGTCCGTCCACACAGTGGAATATCACTTGGAATAAAAATAAATGAAGCGCTGACACCCCCTTGAGCACGGGTGAACCCTGGAGACATCCTGCTGCAGGAGAGAACGAGGCCCCAGGCCACCTGGTTGCAGTCTCTTCTCATGAAATGCCCCAAACAGGCAAACCCACAGAGACGAAATGCCCCAAACAGGCAAACCCACAGAGACGGGGAGCAGACTGGTCATTGCAGGGGCTGGGGAGGGAGCATTGCAAGGGGAGGCCTGGGGGAGCAGGGTTTCTCTGGGGGAATAAAGGGTCTAAAATAAATTGTGGAGAGGGATGCATGACCAGGAATGCTCTAAAAACCAACACAACACAGACTTCAAGCAGACTAACTACATGGCATGTGAATTATGTCTCAATAAAGCTGCTTTTGAGAAAAAAAAAGCAAGCAAGAAAGAAGTTATGTAACAACATAATGACTCATAATTGCTGGGGCAGCTGGCTCAGTTCAGAGGAGTGTACGGGGTGATAGCATGGCGTCCTGACTTGAGAGGATCTCACCTAACAGCTGAGCCAGCCCTGCCCTCTGCGCCCCGGGAACCACCTCCTTTTCATGTGTCTGCACCAGAGGAGGCATGTTTTATTTATTTAAGCAGAAAACACACATATGGTAGGAAAGTCAAAAGGGATAAATGAGGTTCACATGAAGAGTGGGTCCCCCAGACACCCAGTTTTCACCCCACAAGTGATCAGTCACTGAGGTGGCCCCAAGCTTCTGAAGCCAACCATGCTGCAACATTATTTTCCCTCAAATTTGAGCATCTTCTGCCAGACTTTCACTCCTCCATGGTTGATCTTTTGTGCCCTGGAGCTTGGCCTGCTTATCCAAACTTTGTAATACATCTTAATATGATAGAGTTATCCCCTCATGGCTATTCCCTTCCCAGAATATCCCTGGCTGTTATCTGTAATAGTTACCCAGAAAATCCTTTACTCAGACTATCTGATCAATCGACAGGTTTAATGCTTTCCCTGTCAAATTACCCATGACATTTTTCACAGAACTTGAACAAATAATCCTAAAATTTAATGGAACTACAAAAGATGCAGGATTGCCAAAGCAATCTTAAGGGAAAAGAACAAAGCTGGAGGCATAACCCTCTCAGATTTCTGACAACACTACAAAGCTGTCGTCATCAAAGCAGTGTGGCACTGGCATGAAAACAGACACACAGCTCCATGGAACAGAAGAGAGAGCCCAGAAATAAACTCAGGCACCTATGGTCAACTAATCTTTGACAAAGAAGGCAAGAATATAAGATAGGAAAAGGACAATCTTCAGTAAGTGGTGTTGGGAAAGCTGGACAGCCATATGTGAATCAATGAAGTTAGAACTTTCTCACACCACCCACAAAAATAAACTCAAAATGGCTCAAAGGCAAACAAAAGACACAAACCCACAAACGCCCTAGAAGAGAATAGCGGCAAGCACTCCCTGACATAAATTGCACCAGTGTCTCCTTAGGGAGTGGGAGTCCTGCCAGGCAGAGCATGTGGGGAAGCTTGGCCCCAACCCAGGGACCTCCTGTCACAGTCCTGGGACCTGCTTCTAGTCCTGAGGAGTCCCCCCAGCAGACCCAAGTCAGGGACTTTCTGCAAAATAAAAGAACTGGAACTGTCAAGGGTGACAGCTAAAACAATGCTCAGCTTGGGGCTGGAGTCTCCACTGAAGGACATATGGAATCTGAGGACAAAAGTGTGGTTGTGAATTGAATTAGCATCCTGACTCAAATAAACAGAGGGATGAAGAGACATCTAGTTTACGATTTACTCTCAAATGGTCTAGAAAAAGACCTACATATAACTTCTGCTTCAGTTACAGTGTAGAAACACAACAGGCTGCCTAGATCCACCCAACAAACATGCAAGCTGCTACTGTTGGTTGCTGTTGCTGTTGTTCAGTCACTAAGCTGTGTCCGACTCTTTGTGAGTCGGACTGCATGGACTGCAGCACATCAGGTTTCCCTGTCCTCCATCATCTCCCAGAGTTTGCTCAAGTTCATGTCCATTGAATCTGTGATGCCATCCAAGCATCTCATCCTCTGTCACCCTCTTCTCCCTTTGCCTTCAACTTTTCCCAGCACCAGGGGCTTTTCCAATGAGTCGGCTCTTGCAAGCTAATTAAGCTACAATTTCATGGTTTTTAGAAAACATCGATTTTTATTTATTTATTTGGCTGTGCCAGGTCTTAGCTGCACATGCAGCATCTTTAGTTACAGCACATGAGCTCTTAGTCCTCAGATTTTCTGTGTCTTCTTTTCTGCAAATCTGGGCTCATGTATGCTGGTCACATTCAGCAGGTTTTAATTCATTCCTGTCATTCTTTATTTTCATGACCGAACTGCCCCAGAGTCAGCCGGGGCATGCTCCTCCCACACAGCCCCGCCTCTCTTAAACAGCTCCTCACTTTCTGACCCAAGATTTCTGGCCCCCTGTGCCTCCCTCGCCCCAGCCCGGATCATTCATCCCCCAGGTGGCTCCCGGCTCCTCTGGTGAGGACCGTCTCAGAAACCCAGGTCTGGGCACAGGGCCTGCTTGGGGGTCTCAGGCTGTGGGTCCCTCCCCAGGTGCCCTGCTCCTAGGCAGGGCGCAGACAGGCTGTTACATCTGCAGTCCAGTTCAGTTCAGTTGCTCAGTCATGTCTGACTCTTTGTGATCCCACAGACTGCAGCACGCCAGACTCCCTGTGCGTCGCCAATTCCCGGAGTTTAGTCAGATTCATGTCCATTGAGTCGGTGATGCCATCCAGCCATCTCATCCTCTGTCGTCCCCTTCTCCTCCTGCCCTCAATCTCTCCCAGCATCAGGGTCTTTTCCAATGAATCAGTTCTTTCACATCAGGTGCCAAAGTATTGGAGTTTCAGCTTCAGCATCAGTCCTTCCAATGAATATTCAGGACTGATTTCCTTTAGGATGGACTGGCTTGATCTCCTTGCAGCCCAAGGGACTCTGAAGAGTCTTCTCCAGCACCACACAGTTAAAAAACATCAATTCTTCAGCACTCAGCTTTCTTTACAGTCCAACTCTCACATCCATACATGACTACTGGAAAAACCATAGCCTTGACTAGACAGACATTTGTTGGCAAAGTAATCTCTCTGCTTTTTAATACTCTAAGTTGGTCATAACTTTTCTTTCAAGGAGTAAGTGTCTTTTAATTTCATGGCTGCACTCACCATCTGCAGTGATTTTGGAGCCCCCCAAAATAAAGTCTGTCACTGTTTTCGTTGTTTGCCCATCTATTTGTCATGAAGTGATGGGACCAGATGCCATGATCTTTGTTACATCTTTTACAGCCTGTTGCCTCTCCAGTGATGTCTGCATCCACCTGTACGTTTTGAAAATGATGCACTTGCACAGGTACCATCAGTTCCAATCCAAGTCAGGGTTTATCGTTGTTTTCTTTCCTGAAATCTGCAGCTCTCTGTGCTGACAGTTGAAGCGTCAGGTCCCCTTGTCCTCAAGGTGCTCACAACATCTGATCCCTCTGGGAACAAGTCTGCCCCTCACCTCCGGCACCCTCCTCTCCCGGGGGCTCCAGCAGCCTCAGGCAGGGTCACCGTGTGGGTGCCCCACCCTTGACAGTTCCGACACCGTGCGCCAGGCCAGGCCTTGGTCCCCAGCCCCCCTCCCGGGCCCCGGCCAGGGGTCCTCACCCGCAGTGGGCACAGGGACACAGGAGGAGGAGCTGGGATGGGGGCCCAGGAACCTGAGCCCGGCGTGGAGGAAGGGGGCGCAGCAGGAGCGGAGGTCCCGGGGCGCCCGAGGAGACAGGGAGGCTGGTGACACACACGCCCAGCTGCAGATCCCGCAGGGAGAGCCCCACGGCCCGGCGCTGGGCCTGCAGGGGGTGTCATCAGGTGTGGTGCGCCCCCATCCCGGGGCAGTACTCCAGGCAGAGACTGGGGCACCTGATAAAACACCAATCAAATCCTGTTGCTCCTATTTCATGTGATGGGCAGACCAGTCTCCTGATGGGTGGGGCTGGCCATTTATCTCCCAGTGCAGGGAAGTGGGCTCCCTGCAAGGGCTGTGAATGCCTGCAGGCACACTCACGGCCAGCGCAAAGGGTGAGGAAGGAGCCAGGAGCTTCTCCGGAGATGGCCGGTGCAGGGCGAGCATGTAGTCAGCAGAGGCAGGGTGGGGAGAAGGTTTGGTTTTGGATAAATTGGCCTGAAAGAAGCAGGTGGAGTCTCCCAGAGCTGTGGGCAGCCACAGCTGGACGTCCTGAGCCCGGGGGGAGCACGGTGGGTGTCCCTCGTCCAGCCTGAGGGCCCAGGACTCTGGCCCATGTGCCTGGTGACGCTGGGCTGTCTGTTGGACACCAGGCACATGCGGGTGCTCACCAGCTCGGGGCCGGCGCTGGTGCCCGCCGCCCCCCAGAACAGCAGTGGTGGGGTCTCTGTGGCCAGCCTGCAGTGGCTCTCCGAGCGGGCCCCCTCCCTCGTGACTGTGTGGACCCTCGTGGCTCTGTGGTCTGTCCTGGGTGAGCGCGTGTGTTGGGCTGGGTCCGCTCCTGCCCGTGGGGCGGGCCTCCCAGAGTGTGTGGAGGTCCTCCCTGTGGTCCTGGGCTTCCTGTGCCGTGTGGGGATCGCGGGCCAGCACTGCTTTCGGGAACAGCAGGTGGGCCCCCAAGGCCACTTGGCGCCCCCGCCTGGAGCTGTGGGGCTGGGGCTGAGCCGGTGAGGCTGCTGGGCTTCGGGGGCCCTTGGAGGGGCGGGGACTCTCCGAGTGCACGGGCCCCGTCCTGGTGGACGTGCCAGCTGTCAGAGCCCGGGGCTCCGTGGGGCCACGGCCCAGGGTCTCCCTGGCGTCCCCTCTGGGCACGTGCACTTGGCTGTTTTTATGCTGAGGAGGAAAGGATGAATGGTAGCCGCCCCATATTTCCACAGACTTAAACTGGTGGAGTCTAAAGTGTGATTATTCCTTATAAGCACGTAGCTTTTGGTAAAAGTGTACAGAATCAGTCATTCATCTCTGAGGGAAAATGGAACTTCAGGGCTACGGTATTAAATTAAATTGAAAACTGACACATCAGTTAAGGCCAGACAGACTGTCCTGTCTGAGTCCGGCGACCTCTTCGCACGTGGGGGTCACTTGGCCAGAACACGCCCCACAGGGCTGTGGTCTGCGTGGGGCGGTCACCCCCGGGCGCGCGTGGTGTGCCTGGCGTGGCTGTGGGTGGCTGAGGGTCCCTCCCCGCCTGCCGGCTGTCAGCAAGCACACGTCCTTCCTATTGTTTCTGGCCCTCAGGTAGCCGAGTCCTGAGGGCCCAGGACGGTGAGGAAACGAGGGTGGGATGCTGTGCTCATAGAGGGGACGCTGACAAGATGCAGGGCTCCCCGGCCTCAGAAAGCTCCATGGGCAGGAGCACATGTGCACCCACCTGCCTGCCGCTGAGGCAGATGGCCGGCCCCCGGGGTCCCGGCGAGAGCCTGGAGCGGCCTGGCCGGGCCCATGTCCGCACGATGAATGACCTGGGGCTGGTAAGGGACTGAGCCCCGCGGTCTTGCCCCCTGGCCTCAGGGGGCTGGGGCCGTGTCGCTCCCAGGCGGGATGTGGGGAGGTGCAGCGTGGCCAGAGCCCTGGGGGCACACGCGGCGCTCCCCAAGCCCAGACATGACGGCACGGCCCCCGATGGAGCGGGAGGGGCCCAGGCGCGGGAGGCACCGACCGTCGGCTGGCAGCTCAACGGGACTCTTGGCCAGCGTGATGGCACCCGGACGGCGGTGAGTGCAGACAAGGCCATGCTGGGCGGGAGGCCCCTGGGCCGGCCAAGGGAGGCAGGCCGTCCTGGCTGCTGGCTGCCCTCCTCTGAGGGCCGGAGGACCGGCTTTGCGGGCAGACAGTGTCTCGGAGAAGCGGCGGAGGGAGACCAAGGGTGCTCCGGCGGAAGCCTTGTCTCCCACAGAGGCCACACGGCGCATCCACACGTGGATGGGGTCCTCCGAGGAGGGAGCTGAGCCCGGGCCGGCGGGTGAAGGACGCGGGCAGTAGGAGGGCCCAGGATCCACTTCAACTCGGGGCAGTTTGCCAAGGGGGCCCCAGGGTGACGGCGTGGAAAATGGGAGGCCGCGGAGGGAAACGTGGGGGGCACTCGTGGGCGGGGCATGAGGTCGTGGCCAGAGCAGGCCTGGGTGTCAGCGACAGGAGGTGCCCATTCAGGGTGGGGCTGGGGTTGGTGGGACCAGTGTGGCGAGGCTGGGGTAGCCAGGGGCCAGGTGGGAGGGCGCCAGGACTCCCGAGCAGAGGGCCCGGGAAGGGCCTGAGTGCATCTCCTCCTGGCAGCTCTGGGGGAGTGACCACAGAGCGGGGCGCGGCCAGCCCGGAGCAAGTGTGCTGGGGATGGGGGTGTGGCCTGGCAGCGGGCAGTCTAGGTGGGGACCTGGGCTTTCAGGGACCATCTAGGACAGTCCCCTGTGGGCTCACGCACAGTGGTGAAGGGAGGGAGTCTGGAGGAGAGGGCACGGATGGAGAGAAGGGACAGAGTGGGGTTGGTCCTGAGGACTCGGGGCAGGGGGAGGCGAGGCCCTGGGTGGAGAAGACATTGTGGCCTCTTGACCCCCCGGGGGATCAGGGTGGGTGCAGACCCTGCTCATGACCCTGGTGGCAGGTAGAAGGTGGGAGGCTGTTGCTAGGGGGCAGACTGTGCATGGGCCCACGAGGATGGCAGGTAGCTGCACGCGCAACACCTCCCAGACCTCTGGGGAGGCGGTCCATCAGCCAAAGGCAGGCGCCGGGTCACCCTTGGGTTGGGGTCTGCCTGTGACCAGCTGGTCCGGGTGGGGCTGTCCCTGGTGTGAGAGCTCTTCTGGGGAAACACAGCCGTGCTGCACGCCTGCTGGGTTCGAGCTGGGAGTTTGTGGCCAGAGACACCCCACTCCTGGCCCCACCAGCCCGGCAGAGAATTCCCTCACCCCAGGTTCTAGAAGCTCAGGGGTGAGCAGGTCTCTGCATTTCAGACTTTCTGCAAAGTGGTATCTCACTTTGGTTTTGTTTGCATTTGCTTGATTGCTGGTGTCTATTTACATGTTTATTCACTGGGTATTGGGGTTTCCGTGATGACGACTGCACTGCTGAGCTTCTGATTCACCCTCATTGCTCTACTTGTGTGTATGTGTGTGTATGTGTGCACACGCACACACATACTCACTTGCTCAGCAGTGGCCGACTCTGGGAGCTCTTTATGTAACTGACACTGACCGTTTTTTTACCCATGTATGTCACAGGCCTTCCCACCTCCAGCCTTTCCTCCCTTAAAACCATGTCTTCTGAGTGCATAGGAAAGTTTTCTTTCAATGAAGTCAGATTTGTTTGTGTTTCACGGTTAGTGTATTTTGTGTCCTGTGTAAGAAATCTTTCCCAATAGATACCTAGGCTTTTTTCCAAATAGACACCCACTCGGTCTCAGTGTGCTAGACTCACAACTTTCCTGTGACCTGGGAAGTACCTTTGCCACGAGTCAAAGGACTGTGTGTTCTCTCTGGGTTCCCTGTAGCTTCCACCATCCCCTCCGGGCAGGGCAGGTGGTGGTCCGGGCAGGGCGGCTGGTGGTCCGGGAAGGGCGGGTGGTGTGGGCAGTGTGGGTGGTGTGGGCAGGGCGGGTGGTCGGGCAGGGCGGGTGGTGTGGGCAGGGCGGGTGGGTGGTCCGGGCAGGGCGGGTGGTGCGGGCAGTGTGGGTGGTGCGGGCAGGGCGGGTGGTGCGGGCAGGGCGGGTGGGTGGTCCGGGCAGGGCAGGTGGCTGGTCTGGGCAGGGCGGGATCTCAGCAAGGGGGAGACGACCAGGAAGTCACCAAGCTCTGCCCTTTTCCTCCAGCACGGCTGCTGAGTGCGCATCAGTGCCGCTGTGGGAGCTGGTTGGCATCCCAGCCAGGCTGTAACCTGTGGGCACTGTCCAAACATGCGGCTGCTCTGCTGGCCTTGCCCTCAGCCTTTGCCCTGGGAAGCAGTGGCCGTCCAGCAGGTGGCAGGCCGGTCACTTCCTTGCTAGGCCGCCAGCCCTGAGGTCCCTTGCTTCCTGCTTCCTTCTCCCTCCTTTTTGACCTGCTGCTCAGAAGGAACACTGTCGTCCTAATCGCGTTCCTGTATCGTGGGAATACCCATGTTCCTTCTCTTTATTTTCACAAGGTTTTTACACTCAATCTGAAGTAAGGGTAGGAAGTCAGAATCCAGAGATCACCACTGAGTACCCTCCACCAGAAGCTCCAGGAGTCCTGGGGTCCCTGAAAGGCGCACAAGGGCCACCACCCCATCCTCAAGTGGGGAGGGAAGGTGCAAGGTCAAGAGGACGGAGCCTGGATAGGGACCTCCCAGAGTCCCGGGGAGTGGGCTCTCTGCCCCTCCTGTTGACCCCTGATGCAGAGAGGTCCCAGGGGCACAGAGGTCAGGCTCCCAGGCAACTCTGTTCTCCAGAAACCTGAATCCTCACCTCACTTCTCCACTTGGTCACAGAGAGGAAAAACACCCCCAAACTCCACAGGAAGACAGATGCATAGCTGTACCTTTCTTTTCAGCATCAAAGTCCCCCACATACCACTTCTCAACATCTTACCATCCTCAGCTTAGGGAGGATGGAGAGGTGTGTCTCTGTGATAAGCAGTGGAGAAGCTAGAGGTCTTCTCCTGTCCCCTCACCCTCCAGTGCAGGAGGGCCCCAGGGCACTGCCCTGGGCACTTCCAAGAGGTGGAACCCAACCTGTGCTGGGCTCAACCCTGGTCTGCTGGCCACATCCCTGAGTGTCCATGCTGCCCTCTGCCTGACGCGCATCTTGGCTGCACATGGCCCAGGCACCTTGGAGAGGAGAGATTCGCCCTAGGGACATCAAGGCCTCAGCCACCGGCTTCCTGCCAGGCAGTGAGCCCCTGGCCACCCATTCCCACTCATTCCCATTTCTGGCTAATTTTTCCCTACAAGTATTGGTGGTTATGTCCTTTACATTGGGCTCCTCCGTGACTCAGTGGTAAAGAATGCGCCTGCCAATGCAGGAGACACAGGTTTGATCCTTGGGTTGGGAAGATCCCCTGGAGAAGGGACTGGCAACCCACTCCAGCATTCTCACCTGGAGCATCACATAGACAGAGGAGCCTGGCGGGCTAAAGACCATGGGGTCGTAAACAGTCGGACACGACTGAGCCTGCATGCTTGTCCTTTAAAGCAGATGTTCTGAACTGGAAGAATCCACAGGACACAGCTGTTGCCCTTCATCTGGTGCAGCAGGAGGCACGTCTGCGTTTGGCTCGTGCTCAAGAGAAGCGCTGGTCCAGTCCTTAACCACGTGGCTGGCGTCTTCTCTGAAAGGAGCTGGGTGCGGGCCCCAGGAACAGGGACACGGCTTGCTGTGTGTGGCGGGAGCCGGGGCGGGGCCCCAGGGCAGAGTTGTTTGCGGAGAGCTCGCGGACCCACAGCTGCGGACACCCTGGGTGTCCTGCCTCCTGGCCCAGTGACCATCACCAGGTGCAGTTTGCTGCCTTCCTAAGGTGGGGCTTCAAAACTTCCCAGTGAGGGTGGGGGCCCTGGCCCCTCTGGGAGGGGACCTGGGCGGCTGCCCTGCATGCTGAGACTTGGTGCTCACGCGGTTACTCACAGGACAGCAATGTGAGGACGGCCGTGGGTTCATAAAAGTTAAGCAAGCCTCCCAAGGTCCCGAGACGGGGGACCGGGGCCTCTTGAGCGACCTTCCCGGGTGCCGCCCTCAGGCTTTCTATTTATAGGAGCTCCGCGCTGGGCCTAGCATAAAGCAGTGGGGTGTCCACCCTAAATAACAACCCGAGTGCTTTGGTGAAAGGTAAAGGCTTGTTTATTCCCCATGTCATAAACCGGCCATGGTGACAATGGGCGCTCTGCAGCAGGCACCTCCTGGGACCTTGCCACCTCTAGGGCCTTCCCGTAAGGACGTGCTGCGTGGCTGGTCAAGACTGCAAACTTGCGGGGGTCGGGGGGGGGGCGGAATACTGTAAGCTGCAGAACCTGGGGCTGTGCCCCCTCCTGTGGCTGGTTTGGGCTCTCCTCAGAGCACGCTTGGCCATTACCCGCAGCTCATTCTAGACCAGATGCTGGGCACGAACTGTCCGAATAACTCTATTCAATCCATTTGTAAGCCACAGATGTTCCCTGTAAGAGATCTGGAAGCTGTAGAGAAGCAAAAGCTAATGAAATAAAAGCATCCCGAAGCTGTAGGTCTGGAATACTGTGGGGACAAAGTGGCAGTCAGCATTTACATGTGACCGCCTCTCCTCTGTCATCACCACCACGTGGCACGTATCAGGGTCCTGACTTTTTTACCTCATGTCACATAGTGAACATTTTCCCATGTCATTAAAATTCTTTCCAATTTTAAAGGAAGCATAACATCCATCAGATGACTACACTGTAATTTAATCAGTTCCTTGTTCAAGCCGCTTACTGAAACGCACTTTATGGACTTAAATGCGTGTCCGTGTGCACATATCCTTCAACCCCACCCACCCCAGTCCAAGCACAGATCCCACAGGAGTCCTCACACTTCTGGTAACAAAGGGAATGCATAAATGGCACCTGACCCAAAGACAAGACCACCCCAGGTCCACACTGAAGCTATCCCTTCACGGGTCACAGCCTGGCTGTGGCGAAGGGGCTTGGGTAACACAATGAAAAGATGAGCCATATTGTGCAGGCCTCCCAAGACGGACAGGTCATAGTGAAGAGTTCTGACAAAACGTGGTCCGCTGGAGGGGAAAATGGCAAATCACTCCAGTATTCTTGCCATGAGAACTTCATGAACTGTACGAAAAGGCAAAAAGATTTGACACTAGAAGATGAGCCCCCCAGGTCAGAGGTGTCCAATATGTTACTGGGTGAGAGTGGAGGGCAATTACTAATAGCACCAAAAAGAATGAAGCGACTGGGCCAAAGCAGAAATGACTTCATTTCTGAAGTCTGATGCTGTAAAAAACAATATTGCATAGGAACCCGGAATGTTAGGTCCATGAATCAAGGTAAATTGGATGTGGTCAAAGAGGAAATGGCAAGACTGAGCAGTGACATCTTAGGAATCACTGAACGAAAATGAACCAGAATGGGTGAATTTAATTCAAATGACCTTCATATCTACTACTGTGGGTAAGAATCACTTAGAAGAAATGGAGGAGCCCTCATAGTCAACAGAAGACTCTAAAATGCAGTACTTGGTGCAGTCTCAAAAGTGACAGAATGATCTCAGTTCATTTCCTAGGCAAACCATTCAATATCACAGTAATCCAAGTCTATGCCCCAACCACTGATGCCTAAGAAGCTGAAGTTGACCAGTTCTATGAAGACCTACAAGCCTTCTAGAACTAACACCAAAAAACAATCTCTTTTTCATCATAGGGGACTGGAATACAAAAGTAGGAAGTCAAGAGATAACTGGAGTACCAGCAAGTTTGGCCTTGGAGTACAGAATGAAACAGGAAAAAGGCTAACAGTTTTGTTAAGAGATTGCACTTGTCATAGCAAACACCCTTTTCTAACAACACAAGAGATGACAACACATAGACATCACAAAATGGTCAATACTGAAATCAGACTGATCATATTCTTTGCATAAATCAGATTGATTATACATTTTCTCGAAAGATGGAGAAATTCTATACAGCTAGCAAAAACAAGACCAGGAGCTGACTATGGCTCAGATCATGAACTCCTTATTGCAAAATTCAGACTTAAATTGGACAAAGTAGGGAAAACCACTAGGCCATTCGGGTATGCCCTAAATCAAACCCCTAGAGTGGAGGTGACAAACAGATTCAGGGAGTCAATCCGATAGACAGAGCACCTGAAGAACTGTGGACAGAGGTTCATAGCATTGTAAAGGAGGCAGTGATCACAACCATCCCAAAGGAAAAAATGCAAGAAGGCAAAGTGGTTGTCTGAGGAGACTTTATAAATAACTGAGGAAAGAAAAGAAGTGAAAGGCAAAGGAGAAAGGGAAAGATATACCAAACTGAACGTAGAATTCCAGAGAACAGCAAAGAAAGATAAGAAGGTTTTCTTAAACGAACAATGCAAAGCAATAGAAGAAAACAATAGAATGGGAAAGATTAGAGATCTCTTCAAGAAAATTGGAGATATCAAAGGAATATTTAGTACAAGGATGGGCATGATAATGGACAGAAACAAAAAGGACCAAACAGAAGCAGAAGAGATTAAGAAGAGGTGGCAAGAATACACAGAAGAACTGTACAAAAAAGGTCTTAATGACCTGGATAACCATGATGGTGTGGTCACTCACCTAGAGCGAGATAACCTGGAGTGTGAAGTCAAGTGGGTTTTGGGAAGCATCACTACGAACAAGCTATTGGAGGTGACTGAATTCCAGCTGAGTTATTTAAAATCCTAAAAGATGATGCTGGGAAAGTGTTGCACTCAATAATGTCAGCAAGTTTGGAAAACTCAGCAGTGGCCACAGAACTGGAAAAAGTGTTTTCTTTCCAGTTCCAAAGAAGTCAAGTGAGTGAAATTCACTCAGTTGTGTCCGACTCTTTGCAACCCCACGGACAGTCCATGGAATTCTGCAGGCCAGAATACTGGACTGTGTAGCTGCTCCCTTCTCCAGGGATCTTCCCAACCCAAGGATCAAACCCAGGTCTCCTGCATTGCAGGAGGATTCTTTACCGGCTGAGCCACAAGGGAAGCCCATTCCAAAGAAGGGCAATGCCAAAGAATGTTCAAACGCCCACACACTCACTCTCATGCTAGCAAGGTCATGCTCAAAATCTTCCAAGCCAGGCTTCAGCAGCGCATGAATCAAGAAATGCCAGATGTACAAACTGGATATAGAAGAGGCAGAGGAACCAGAGATCAAATTGCCAACATTTGTTGGATCATAGAGAAAGCAAGGGAATTCCAGAAAATATCTACTTCTGCTTCATTGACTACACTAAAGTGTTTTGACTGTGTAGATCACAACAAACTGTGGAAAACTCTTAAAGAGATGGGAATACCAGACCACCTTATCTATCTCCTGAGAAACCTGTATACAGGTCAAGAAGCGACAGTAAGAACCGGACATGGAACAACCGGTTCCAGTTTGGGAAAGGATATGACAAGACTGTATATTGTCACCCTGCTTCTTTAACTTCTATACAGAGTACATCATGCCAAATGCCAGGATGAATAAATCTCAAGCTGGAATCAAGATTGCCAAGAGAAATGTCAATAACCTCAGAAATGCAGATGATATCACTTTAATGGCAGAAAGTGATGAGGAACTAAAGAGCCTCTTGATGAGGGTAAAAGAGGAGAGTGAAAAAACTGGCTTAAAACTCAACATTCAGAAAACTAAGATCATGGCATCTGGCCCCATCACTTCATGGCAGATAGATGGGGAAACAATGGAAACAGTGAGAGACTTTATTTTGGGAGGCTCCAAAATCACTGCAGATGGTGACTGCAGCCATGAAATTAAAAGACGCTTGCTCCTTGGAAGCAACCTAGACAGCACATTAAAAAGTACTGTGTCAACCAATGTACATTTAGTCAAGGCTGTGGTTTTTCCAGTAGTTGTGTATGGATGTGAGAGTTGGACTATAAAGAAAGCTGAGCATTGAAGAATTGATGCTTTTGAACTGTGGTGTTGGAGAAGACTCTTGAGAGTCCCTTGGACTGCAAGGAGATCAAACCAGATCATCCTAAAGGAAATCAGTCCTGAGTGTTCATTAGAATGACTAATGTTGAAGCAGAAGCTTTGGCCACCTGATGCGAAGAGAGAACTCATTGGAAAAAATATTGATTCTGGGAAAGATTAAAGGCTTAAGGAGAAGGGGATGACAGAGAATGAGATGGTTGGATGGTATCACTGACTCAATGGACATGAGTCTGGGCCAACCCCAGGAGATAATGAAGGACAGGGAAGCCTGGCGTGCTGCCGTTCACAGGGTCGCAAAGAGTCAGACACAACTTAGCGAGTGAACAACAACAATATTAAACTTGGCACAAAATGGCTATTCAGTCCTCCTGCACTTTCTGCTAAAGGACCCTGGGCAGGTGGTGCCTGCAGAATCGAGCAAGGCCACAATGTCATGTGTCCGGTGAGACCCATAGAGCACAGCTCCAAAGGTACTGGGGCACTTGTCCTACACATCTGCCCAGTGTGGTATTTGGGCAGGGGTTTCCTGTGGCTCACGTCGCCTCAGGGGCAGGACCCCAGCCCCAGCTCCATGGCTGATGGCTAGCAGCCTGGGATCCCAGCGCAGGTGGGGGCCGAGGGCTCTCTCCAACCGGAGCCTGGCCTCAGGTGAGCAAAACAAGAAGCCCCTGGATCCACCTGAGCAGCAGCGCCCACGCAGAGCAGGCTGTCCCGGGGGGAGGCCGCCCACAGGAGCCCCGCCCCACCCTGACTGCTCCGCGGTCCTGGAGGCCCTGGGCCAAGCGGCACAGACGGGAAGGGGAGAATCTTCCACGGCACCAGGCGGCACCTAGACAAGCCCCGCCCCGCTGGCCCCCAGGGCCCAGCCTGCCT